GAGGGGGGGGGGGGGGGGGGGGGGGGAGCCAGAGGATGGAGAGACTGTGTGAGAGAATGAATGAGAGAGGGAGAGTGCACAGGGCTGAGGGTGTACTGGCTCTGGGGTTACACCTTGGCAGAATGTGCAGTCTGGAGTCCAGATGTCACGTGGCCCGAATAGCTTGCTTTCGGGGGATGTGACATAAACTGGTTTTGAATGTATGGAGCCTGAACTATGCAGGGCCCCCTCGGGAGGTGGAGAAAGAGACACTGATTCTTCTAAGGGAGGCAAAGATAACTCACTGTTTACAGCATCAAGGCTGCAGCTCCTTTGGGGGAAGTGGGTGGAGAACACAGAGAACGGGCGCTTCTCACTTCTCATTCGGGCATGGAGCCGAGCTGTGATGGTGCCGTCTCTCGCCCCTGCACCCCGTCTAGTAGAGCACTTGGCACCTTGACTCCAAGTCTGGACGCCCTCCCCAGCTCCGAGGGGAGACAGCGGCAGCTTCCTGGGGGAGGGAAGGAATGCCAAAGGGAGGTGACTGGCCTGGAGGTGGCAAGGCCACCCAGAGCGCAGCTGGCTCTCCGCATTTCCCTGTTGTAACCACCGGGCAGGCCCTGACCAGGCCTGCGGGCATCCCAGGGGGTCATACCTGGCCTCTGTTCTGACTGTTTCTCTTCCTCTGCTGGTGACCCAAGTGTTCACGGATGAGGATGTTAGCTAAACCGAGACGAGACGTAACTGAAGATGCTGGCATTGTGGCCCTTCCCAGACCTGCTGGCTGGTATTTCCTGGGACCCTGGCCCTGCCCCACCCCCTCACCCCTGCCATCTCTGCAGACAGCCAGACCACAGCTGGGCTGATGGGCCGGCCCAGACCTGCCCCTCCCTTCTCACCCGCAGTTCTGGGCTCCACTCTGTCCTAGCCAGTGCTGTCCCTCTAGGGAAGTCCCTCGGCCTGTCTTTTTCAGTTCCCAGTCGGAAATCTAGACCCGACCACCCCAGGAGCCCTGAAAAGGACCAGGGTCACATTCTGAGAGCCCGAGGCACCTTGCAACAAGCAAATCTTGTTTTTATTACAGCTCCTGACCTGTTCATCTCCTGCCAGGGGAAGGAGGGAGAGGAACATTCAGGGAGTTTATGCATTTTTATAACAGACACTTGCTGGGTGTCTGGGTGTCTAGAGCCAAGTGGGCCAGGCCCTCATCAGATCAGGCTCCGCAGACCAGCCAGTGCCCTTACAAGGCTGGAGATGGGCCCGCCTGCTCCTCCTCTGGCTGGAGTGGTCATGGTTTTCGGACCTGATCCCAGCTTACGGCTCCTGCTCTCTTCCCTGTCAAGAACTCCTGATCGGTGGCTTTTGGTCTGTACTCCTAGAGGATTTGGGAAACATGCCCACGTTTGAATTTTGCAGCAGAATCTCTTGCGGTGTTTCTGGACCCCCAGTGTTTGTCAAGATAAAAGTCGGAGAATCTCGCAGGCCTGTGTGCCCCACTGAGTTTGGTTTCCCCAAGTGCTAGGTGTGGGCAGAGCCCGCAGGGGTCCCCCATGTGGAGAACTCATCACCCTAGGCCTGTGGTTCCCCAAGCACCTGCCCCCCTGGCTAGATGGAGGGCCACAAGCTCTGGCTCTCGGTGGCCTGGGACAGCCAACTCCTCTCTCCTCGCCGCCTGCTGGGGTTCCAGCCGGGGTCGGCACAACCACCACCAGGAAACAGTGACCAAGGAAGAAGGGAACAGTGGCCTATTCAGCCTGTGGCTGCTAGAAGTACCCTCCCTGTTTCCAGGAGGAGGGAAGGAGTTTTTTGTCCAAAAACCTGACATTTCTTGATGCTCTGAGCTGCCTGGCTCAGTGCTACAGGGGAGATGCTCACACCCCCAGCCCTGCTGCCCGTGTTCTGTCTTGAGAAGTGGTGAGAGAAAGAGGAAAAGGAAGCCCTGCTTTTTATTCTGCACCTACTATGTGCCTTGGCACTGGGCTAGGAGGTGCCTTCACACGTTGAGTCCTGTGAGGTGGGTCTCACTGCCATCGGGTCACACCCAAGACACTGCCACACGTAGGACATGCCATTTGCTTACCACTAAGAAAAAACACTGCCAACTTTAACTGTAAGATGCCACAAGCATGAAATTCCTCCCCACCCGAGATGCTAAAGTGTGAAAAACTGCAACTGGGCATCGGTGAAGCCAGTATTGTCCCTGTTGCGCATAAGGGAACAGAGGACCTGGGAGTGAAGTGGCTTAATGACCACACAGCAGGAGGTGGCAGGGCTGGGGCTGGAATCCCGGAGGCTGTGGCGCCACGTCCTGCCCCCCACTGCCTGGCCCGGAGTGCCAGACAGCTCAAGACTGAGTTTACCTCCTTGAAGCTCACCAGGAGAGCCCAGGCACCTGCCTGTGTGGAGGTTCCAGCGCCAGGCCCCTCGACTGCCCACACCCTGGGGGTAAGAGGCCTCCCTCCAGGGCTCCTCTGCCCTCTGCCCACCTCTTCCCTTGGAGCCGAGCCATGTGAGAACTCGGCTCAGCCCAGGGGGCCTTCTGTCACAGGGTGCCTGTGTGTGGCCACTGTGGGGAGGGACCTGGGACCTTGTCCCCCCCACTCTCCTGGCCCTATGGCCACCGCCCCCTCAGGCAGGGTCCCAGGCTCCCTGCCCATCGTGTTCGGGGTGAGGACGGGGGAGCCCAGAAGATACCCTGTGTGTGGCTTTGTGTGCGTTCATTCCTGTTTCCAAGGCAAAACCAACCCCTTTTCCTAGTGTGTTCTCGGAACAGCGATACTCCTGGGGCTCAGCTGCTCCCCCTTTTCAGTCATTTGACGTCCCCTGATCAGCATGGACTGTGTTCTGGACACAGGGTAAGATTTTATTTGACCCCCCCGCACAGTGTTGGGTCCTATGCTGACACGTAGCTGGTACTCGGTAAAGGTTTGCTGAATAAACCATAAGTCAGATTATGAGTGTTCAGGGGTTTGGTAGAACGGCACCCCATACACACACAAAGTCATTCAGCAAACCTTTGCTGAGTGCCCACTAGGTGCGGGTGCTGGGAGGACAGAGCAGAGAGGACAGGGTGTCAGCCCTGGTGCCAGAGGAGGCGATGTTAAGAGGGTAATGAGACCCCTGGGCAGAATTCACTGGATCTTCTTGGCTTGGGGGGCATCTAGGTAAGTGCCCAGCAACTGCCTGCCTGACCTAGAGCCTCCTGTGTTCTTCGAGAAACCCCCTCTGCCCTAGAAATGCTGGGCACCTTGCAGTCGGTGAGCTGCGACCACATGGCCTAAGGCAGAGCCCCCCAAGGCCCCACTGGTCGACGATCACCCACCGGTCAGGACACGGGAGAGGTGGCCACCTGCTGCTTTCAGCCCTGGAGGTCAGTCCTCAAGGCCCCGGGGAACTCAAGCAAGTCAGCTCCAGTTGAGGCAAAAGAGGCAGTAACCTCCCACGGCTCGTCGCGTCCCTGCAGGGAGACACTGGCTCAGGGACACGTGGCCTCCTGGCATTCCTCCATATTTAATTGTCTCCCTGTCCGACCCAAGTCCCTAATGAAATGACTTGTACAACAATCTGTCTGTGCCTTATGAAAGTGTCTGTGCACTTTTTATCCTTTTTAAAGCAACTTTCAAAAGTGGACGGGGGCTAGCATACATGGCAGGTCCTAGGAATCTGTGATACCACTGCAATTCTTTTTGCATTGTTTTCGATGTTGGAGTGATGAGGTGTCCACCCCTCGCCCCATGCCCCACCGCCTGTGTACAGACCTTTTTAAACACGTCTCCTTTTTCTGATTCAATACTGTGACCTCTCCGATACAGTAATCTTTGGGGGTCTGTAATAAAGGTTTCAAACCTGGGGGAGTGGGTCGGGAAGGGTTTACACTGGTCTTGTGTGTTGTGCTTTTGTGTGTTTTGATTTTTGTCTGTTTTTATCTGTTTTATATTAACATAATTTTCCTGTTTAAAAGAAAAACAAATACAACTTTGGCTTGTTAAAAAAAAAAGTCTTCAGAACTCACTTTGTAAAGTCACACTTGCATGCACCGATGGGGTGTGGAGGCGGGAAGCCAGATCACCGCAACCTTGAGGAAACAAGCTGCAAAAGGTCTGCAGAACCCGATGGTGTTTGACCCTTTTGCCAAGGAACTCACTTCTGCGAAAATGCTGCTAGGAAATTATAATCAAGGAGAGGCTCCAGGTGTGAAGGTGTTCTCTGCAGCATTATTTAGAGAGGTAGAAAAAACCAAGTGACCCCAATGTCCAACGCCCAGGGCGCACTCACCCATACTCTTGGTCACCAGTGATGGAAACCCAACTGGGCGGCCTTCGGGCGGTAACAGCCTCAGGCAACCGACAAGGCCGCTCGCAGCACCGGCTCCACACGCAGGCGGGGAGTCTGAAAGGCTGCCTGAGCCGGCCTCTCCCCTCCCACTGGGGTTCCCGTCCCCAGGCGGCTGCCCACGGGTGCAGCGGGCACCCTCCCCTTGACCAAGCCCTGAGTGGACCAACTCGCTCACATCTTTCCTCCTGAGCCAATCACAGGACAGAGAGACACGGGACTCTGATTGGTCAGCTCCGGGATGTGCCCTCACCTGAACCCGGTGGCCGCCTCGTCTGAGCTCCTTGGGGTGAAAGTGGAGAATCGCAAATCCCCGGAGAAAATTGGAGCCATGAAGAATGTACGGTGGGAAGGCAAAAACAGCAGCCCTCTGTGGGGAAGGGTGGAATCGATGCGTGGTTAGTAATAGCAGGGGGTGGCCAGGCAGTGGCTCACGTCTGTAATCCCAGCACTTTGGGGGGCCAGGGTGGGAGGACTGCTTGGACCCAGGAGTTCGAGATCAGTCTGGGCAATATAGCAAGACCTTGTCTCCACAAAATATCAAAAAATCAGCCAAGCATGGTGGTGCGGGCCTGTAATCCCAGCTACTCGGGAGGCTGAGGTGGAAGGATCGCCTGAGCCCAAGAGGTTGAGGCTGCCGT